TCCTGTGGGCCGTGTGGCCAAGGCCACCTCCTGGTGAGAGCCGGCCCAGGGCTGGGAGGGGGACCTCAGCGCACACAGCACTCAGGCACCAGGGTCATCTCTGGGGCTGACGGCCTAGGGGCCGTCTCCCGCAACCCCACGCCCTCTGGTTTCCACAAAACGACCAGCATGGAACCTCCTCCTCCAGGCTGGAACCTTCTCCTCCAGCAGGGAACTTTCTCTGCCTCTGGGCTGGGGGCTCCTGCCTTTCCATCCACCACAGGACCCTTTCAGGAATGCAAACACCTCTCACCTGCCCAGGCCAGGTCCCAGCTGAGGGCAAGGGGCTTGGAAGGAGAATGGTACTGACTGGGCCCCCTGCTCGGGGTCTGCAGTGTGAGGCGGAGCTCATGGCCCCCCATCTCCAGGGCGTCCTTCCGTGTGGACCAGACTTGCTCTGCCTAGGATGTGGCCAGGGTCGCCGTGCCCTGCCCGCCCACCTCCCCGGCAGCCTCCAGGATGGCCGGCCTCCCTCTTTAAGAGGTTCCAAATGGCCCCCAAATCACGTCTCTTTCCTGAGATGCAGGCAATTTTTGTGTCACAGGGCCTTTGTAGAGACGTCAAAGGACAGCCTCACGAGGAGAAAAGCCCCCTTGACACCCCAGTGCGGCTTCTGCTCCACAGATGAAAGGGCAGGGGGAGGCAGGCTGGAAACCAGATCACTCAGGGCTGTCAGAGCGCGACAGGGATTCGGTTCACACCAGGCTGGCGGGTGGGAGGGCCGGTCCTTCTCCAGGACCGCCGCGCTCACTCTGGGCGCTGAAGTGATAATCCAGCCCGTGGGGCGCTCAGAGCTGGCGCTGTCAGAAGGCCACAAGCTCTGTAGCAGATGGAGCGGTGTCGGCGGTTGTAAACCACTCCCGGCCCACTGGGACAAACAGGTCAACAGGAGGGATTGGCGCCGCGCATGCCATAAAACCCCAGGCCTGTCACGTCCCGATAAATCTTGATTTTGTAGTGGAACAGCACCCGGGTTCCCAGCCTTGAGTTTCACAGGTGAGCCGGGGCTGATGGATGGGTTGGGAGCCTCGGGCTTGGGGGCCAGCGAGGAAACCTCACCCGCTGCCCCGCCCGCCGGCTCCCTGTGCAGACAGGAAACCCAGCCTGCAAGGGGATCCGGGCCTTTGCCCCGCGCCACAGCCCAGAGCAGGGCAGCCGGTCCCCCGGGGATGGCCCAGTGTGGGCGCCTGGTGGACATGGCACTGTCCTTTCCCAGATGGACCATGGGGTCCCATGGCTGTCACCCAGAGAGGCTTTGCAGAGGGGAGTCCGTGTACTCTCTGCCCCCTGGACCCCAGGACTCTTGCTAATTCCTGCCAGTGCCCCTGAGGGAAGAGAAGGCTCTGGGGAAATGCAGGACTAGGGGGTAGGGCACAGGAGCGGTGAGTGTCCCCGGCTTGGGCAGCGGCAGCAAAGGGAGCACTGACTGAGCTCACCAGAAGGCAGGTCCAGATGGGGGACCAGGGTGAGTCATGTGCGGCTGGGTCTTCTGGTGCTGGAGGAGGCACAGACCTGGGTCTTGGGGGCCTTTGCTGGATGGTGAGCGTGGAGGACCCCATGCATTGGGTCAGAACCGGGACAGCCCCAGGATGCAGCCGGAGCCGAGGCCTCGTCCCACACGTGGCAGGGACAGCTGTGGTCTCTGCCTGCATCTGGGCAGCATGAACACAGTGGTCAGTGTCCACTGCCCAGACCCCGAGAGGCCCTCGGCGGGTGGTTACATGTTGCTCTGAGTGGCGAGCTGCATGTCCCGCTCCTGGTCACCCTGAGGCGACGTTTGGGAATGGATGCAGTGACAGTGGCTCCTCCAGAAGTCTCCGATGTAGGAACAGGACAGTAGGTGATGTGTGAGCTTCTGAACTCCACCCGGTGCCCCATCGATGATCCCCCGGGTCGGAAATGTGGGCCTCAGAGCCTGCTGGCTGGACCTCACCGGCCACTATCCCTCCATGGAGCGGGGAGATGGCGCCCCTTCCTCCTCTGTGTCTCCCTGCATGCTTCTGTGCCTCACCACTGAGATGAAAGCAGCAAGCCCGCGCCCCGCACCCTGCCCAGGCTGTGCTGCTGAGGGCCCTGGGAGAAGCCCTCCCCACTCGTGTCCTCTGTCCTGGGAGCCCTGAGGGCACAGTCTTCCCTGCAAGAGGCCGGCGGTTGCTCAGGGGACCCAGGCCTCGCCAGTCCTGCCGCTGTTTAGAATGTGAGCCTTCCTGAGTGTGCGGAGTCCCCAGCCGCTGTGCACTCTGAGGCCCCGGGGTCCCTTCCTGCACAGCCCGCTGGCCAGAGCTCCTGACCCCAAAGCCCATGACGTTCAGGCGTCTCTGGGCCCCTGAGGCCTCTTCCTGAGCTGTGAACGTTGCCCTGGCCTCCAGGCTGCCTGGGCGAGGGCTGCTGTCTGGAATCAGCAGCTGGACCCACACACACCAAGCCCACCGTGTGCACAACCTCACACTCATGTGGGTGTGCAGGGCACAACTGCAAAACACACACACACAGCAACGTGGGCTCCCTCCTGAGGACAGAGGCCATGTCTGGGCCATCAGCTGCCACCGCAAGGGCAGCGGGGACAGGTCAGCAGCTGCCTTTCCAGGAGGGAGCAGGGCCCCTTCCTCAGGTTTCTGAGAGAGAGGGGAAGGAGCCAAGGAAACAAACCCAGAATGTTCCCCAGGGCCCGGGCGCAGCCGGGGGGACCTGTTCTAGATCGCTCCACTTCAAGGACCTCGGAGGGGTGCGGCTGCAGCCCGTAGGCTCCTGGGGTCTCGGGGGAGGACACCCCTCCCATGCCGTCACACCGATCCTCTCTGTCCACTGCCTTCATTCTGGCCAAACGCACCTTAAACACTAATAAATTGTTAATAGACTGAAATGTGGCAGCCGCCAGCTGTTCCTGAAACGCCCCCTCCCCGGAGGCAGAGAAGGGGCAGCCCTGCCCCACACCAGCAGCCTCAGAATGACGGGCAGCCGGGCAGCAGTGACAGGAGTCCCATGTGCCCACCAAAGTGGGGTGGCACGTGGATGTGGGTAGCGATGTCCTGACTAGTGGCTCACCCACAGAGGCTGAGGTAGGATCAGGACTCCCCCGTTGAGGCTACACCACAAAACCCAAACACCTAGGACACACATGGAGGATCGGGCACAAGTTCAGGAACATGCACAGGGACCATGGCCGAGACTGGGGCCCGATCCCCAGACACTGCCCTCACCAAGCACCACCCGTCCCTCCTCCCGACCCTCACTGCTGCATGCGCCCCGGGTCCACTCAAAGGCCCGCTGCCTGCCATGTGGCCACCATCCTCTCCTGGACTCCAGTGTCCTCTGACCCCACCAGGCTCAGCTCCACTCCCTCTGGCCAGAACCTCACAGTCCGCTCACAGGACTCTCCCCGCACTCACAAGGAGCTGCCGGGCCGAGGGCCATAGCTGCCCGCTCACCAGATACACTGTGGACAGGTGGCAGAGCAGGATGGCTGAGGGCCAGCAGCCGGGAGTGGACAGCTGAAGGGTGCAGGTTTATTGGGGGCAGAATGAGAGTCCCAGGGCAATGGGGAGCAGGGCGCACCCCTGAGGTCAGCAGAGAGCCCAAGCTCACCGGGGCGGCGGTGACCTGTACAGCTGGGGGTCATTGCTCAGCCAAGCTGTCACGAGGGGAGCACTGGCCACAGTGACTGCCATGGGACAGTGGCTGTCCTGTGTGCTAGCAAACAAGGTATGTGAGGTGGCACCCTGCCCAGCAGCCAGCAGAGGCCTGCCCAGTGTGCTGGGCATAGTGAGAACAGTTATTTGTCCATCAAGAAAGGAAGGCAGCCAGCAGGGTCGGGATGTGGATTCCCACGTTACGGAAGCCGCCCACTCTGCTCCCACCCCACACACCGCTGGTGAAAGGCACAGGCAGTGCGACCCCAGAGGACTCTGGACCACTCGGCAGGGAAGGGGAGATGCAGGGCCAGGCCCAGGGCCGGCTGCTGGCAAATCCTCCATCTGCTCTAAGAAAGAGATGGGGAGGGCACGGCTCCATCCTGGCTCCGATGCCAGCCGTGTGGGGACTGGGTCTGGGCCTCCTCTGCAGCGCGGGCACAAGCATCCCCCCTGCTGCCACGGCGTGCAGGCGGCACCCCACAGCCCCTCTGTGCTGCCTCCCTCCCTCTGGGTCCTAAGAGGCCCTTTCAGCCTGGGCCCTGCGCCTCTCGGGGGGCTCTGGGGTCAGAAACTGGAGCCAGGCGCTAAAGAGGCACCGACTGTGGCCAGAGGAGAGGGGACCTCTGATAGCTTTTGCAGATGCTGCAGGGGGAGGGTCTGGAGTGGCCCCAGCCCACCCGCAGATAACCTCTGACCCCCGCCTCTGATGGGGCACAGCTCCCCGTGGCAGATGAATACCCACAGGGGGCGTCGTCCAGGTCCCTGCCTCAGAGGGGGTGGTGAGGGCCCCCAGCAGGAGACGGGGCTGGGCAGCGGGACAGAGGACAGTGTGTCCCCACCTGGGGTCCAGAGGCCTCGAGATGTGAACCCCACCCGGATGAACCCGAGGCTGCAGCAGGGTGCAGGGCGCCGTGGACAGAACTCCGTGCCTGCCCTGGTGTGACTTACGCCGCCCACGAGTACCCAGGGCTGCCTGTGGGACACTAGGCTGGAGAGCGAGAGAGTGGAGGTCTGTTCATCCCTGAAGAGAGCAGCGCTTGGAGGGTGCAGCGAGCTGTTGCCTTCTACCTGGACCTACGCATTCACAGGGCGCACAGCCGACCTCCGGGAGCCCCTCGGCTCGCCTGCTCCCCGCCAGGCCCCAACTGCCTACCAGGAGCCTCTAGCATAGAAGCACACGCTTACACGCCCATAAGCAGGAGCATGTGCTGCCTTACATATGGGTAAGTCTGCGTGCACACACAGACACACATGTGTGCACATACACCCATATGTATCAAATACATGGGCACACCCATGCATGCATAATGTACACACTCACACTGCACTGATTTCCTTGAATATATTTTGTTGACTTTTCTGTGAGGTACAAATGTCCCCTCTTTTTCACACCTGCATGCTATTCCCTGCACGACAGTTCAGGACCTCATTGCTGTCTCCTGCCAAGCGCCCCCTTGCTATAAACACAACTTTTCCTGGGGGCTGTGTAGCATCAGTGGACCCTGCTGTGACCATCTGGGGCTCCAGTCACTTTGGGGTCCAGTCCCTGCTGTTCGTTGAGTCTCCTTTCCTGGGTCCCCCTCCAGCCATGGCTCTGCCCGCAGTGGGTGACCTTGGGCATCAGCAGGCCACATTCCCAGGTTTGCTGTCCTGGCCGTCACTGTGCAGCTTTTTCTGCTGCCAATCACGCATGTCTGGTACTCAGCCAGCCCCAGGGTAGGGAGGGAAAGGGAAGCCAGGTCCCTGCACCCCCTAGGCATGAAGGAGTGGCTGTGCAGGGGGACAGGAAGGGCCACTGGCGGACATCCATGCTGCACACAGGACAGAGGCCGTGGGAGCCGGGTCTCAGAGTGGACCCGGGTGGTTGAGCGGCTCTCACGAGGGCTGGGCCTGAACTCTACTGCACTTCCTACAGCCGTGGCTCCCGCAGACGCCTCTCCGCTGAGTCCCGAGGTAGCTGCCACGGTGACCGTCTGTGCCCCATGGGAGCCCACAGTCCTGGTCGTGGCTGAACGACACTGCAGCGGGCTGGGCGTGACCCTGTGCCCAGGAGTGTCCTGTTCCTTTTCCTTCTGTCATTGTGACTGCTGGGCTCTGCAATCTGTGACTGCTGGCCCAGGTGTCCAGTGTGCAGTGGCTCTGAGCCTCGGGCTCTGGCGTTCAGGGGCTTCCCGCAGCTGCCATTGGGGGCCAATTTCTCCCGCACCCTGCGCCCTTCAGTGTTGGCCCCCGAGCTGAAGGACCTGACCGCCCAGCGCTGAGCCGGCCGCACCGGACTCGAGCAGAGCTCCTTGTTCCGGAAACCTGAGGTTGCTCAGTGTCCTGCAGCCCTGGGCAGCTGAGATAAGGTGCTTCCCTCGGAGGTGCAGAAATCACCGTGTCTGTTTTACATCAGCCGAGTGCCCCGTCTGCCCCTGGCCTCCCAGAGACCTCTGGACTCGGGGAGAACAAACGTCATCCTCCGCTCACCCGCTGAACTCTCCAAAATGACACAGTGGCAGAAGCGGTGTGACCTCTGCAGAAAGGCCTGCGGTCACCAGGGACTTGGAGAAGGACTCACTCCCGAGGGAGGCCCGGAGGAGCAGCGGCCCCAGCGGAGCAGAGGCAACCCCGAGGGGCTTCTCCCGGAGGCACGGACGCAGGGCACAGGAAGGCAGGGCAGGCCCGACACGGCCGAGGAAGAGGAGGAAATGGCCGCAGTCTAGACACGTTATCTCGCCCCGCGCGGGCACCGGCCCGCTCATCCATCGTCCCGGAATGGACTTCCTGCCTCAGGATTTACGCCCATGACCTCATCCCCTTGCTATCTCGAGGCCCGCTGCCGCCTGCTCAGCTCACAGGAATTAGGGCCAGATAACAAGTCTAGACAGCAAGAAGCGGAGATGGATTGTCCCGGGGGAGGAGCCGGCTGGCCAGCGCGGGCTCCGGGGACTCCACGCTAAAGCCACGGCAGCGCTCAGGCCCTGGGTGCTCCGGGAGTCCCTGCGGCTCTGGGGTCAGAGGTGGACACAGTCACTGCCGTGGAGCCGCTGGGCTGGGCTGGGCTGGGCTGGGCGCACGCCCTCCCCTCCCCACAGGCAGGTGGGGTCTGGAGCCGCTGGGTGGAGCTAGCTGGAGCTCTGAGGCGGTGATGGACCCCACAGCCAGCAAGAGGAGCCTGGTGCTGCCAGAGGCTGCATGAGGCCCGGGCACCAAGCCCAAGCATCCCCGGGGACCCTCCTGGGGCCGCGTCCCACACTGGCCCAGGGACACCGGCTGTGCCACCCATCAGGAGCACTGACCGGGGATCCCAGCATCTCCCTGCAGCAAGGCAGCCTGCTCTGCTGTCCCCCACCTGTTACGGGGTGAACTGCGTCACCCCTAATCCACACACTGACTCCCCAGCTGCTGGGACCTCAGGGCACAGTCTCACTTGGAACTGGGTCTCTGAGGACAGACACACTGGTCAAGCCGAGGTCAGGCTGTTGCAGGGCCATCTCTCCGGCTGAGTGACCACTGTTGGTGGGAGGCCCACTGTTCCCATCGGTCAGCACTGGACAGTCACCCTCAGAGTAGACAAATGTCTCACTTCTCCGCACTTGCTGGGAGCCCTGAGGGCTCCGCAGAGCCCCCTTTGTCTCCACTGCCCACGAGGTGTCCTGTCCAAGGGGGTCACTCACTCATGACCCCTGCTGAGATCCCACCCCCACCTGTGCTCAGCCCGACTTCCTGAGCCCAGGGGCCCTAAGGAGACACGGGAGGCAGGGAGGAGGAGGACAGCCCAGCCCATGCTGAGGGGGCCGCTCTGTGCGCCCAGGGTCTGGCCATCCTGGACCAATGAGCCGGGAGGAATCGGGTCCCCGTGTGTGTGTCCTTCCCCTCCTGAGCACTGATAGCCCCGGGACCAGCGTGGGCCACCCATCCTCATAGCCTCTGTCCTTCTGGACATGTCTGTCCCCACCTCGTGCTTCCAGTCTGGAACTGCTGACCGCTCAGGAGTGGACACAGGGCCCGGCCCAAGCTGTCCTACTTGGCCCCTTCCCTGCCTCCTGAGCCCACAGAGCAGAGCTGACGGGAGCCAGTCAGCGCCTCAGAGCATCCTCCTCCTCTTTCCTCTTCTCCTCCTCCTCAGTTCCTCCTTCTCCTTTCCCATCCTTCCTCATCCACCTCCGAGTGCAGGGTGGGGAGGCTCTGCAGCCTCCGCCCGCCACCCCCATCCTGGCCCTGCACCCTCCCTTCCCACTCAGGGCGTAGGCAGGACGGCGGTGTTTGGGAATCTGGCCACAGCAGATGAGAGTGAGGCCTGCCAAGGAGCCCATCCTGTGGACCGGTGGGGTCGCCGGCAGCGCGGTCTGGGCATCGGTGGGGCAGCCGTCCTCCCAGGGCAACCATGGCACTGTGAATCTTATCACACAGCCACACCGCCACAGCCACCACCAGACAGGCCCTGAGCGCTGCCCAAGGTGAGGGCACAGGGGTGCTTCAGGGAGCACCACAGGGAGCCCAGTGAGGGACTAAACAGGCACGGGGCCAGCCCAAGGAGGGCAAGACGGACCCTGCAGGGAGGAGGCTTCATCCGTCCTTCCGTCCCCAGCTACGTTCCGCAGCAAACCCAGGCCTGGCTGTCGTGCCTTTCGGGGGCCCCTCGAGAACGCGTCCCTGGAGCAGAGCGGTCTCCACGCACATCTCACTGCAGTTCACTGGATCCTCAGGCCGAGGAGCTGCTGAGCACTGAGCCCTGGGCCTCCATCGCTGCTCTCAGGCTGGGCCAAAGGAAAAAAGAATGAGGACGAGGTGTTTACGGGGTGCCTGAGGCCAAGACATGGCAGGTCAGAGAGTGGCTGGGCAGCCGCACACCCCACCTGTCCTCCTGGCCCTGCAGACACCCAGGGAGACGCAGGCCGCCCGGCACCCGCGGCTGAGCCTGGAGATGCACACCCGGCCCGGCCGGCCAGGCCCCTGTGGCCATGGCGTCCCCCAAGAGCAGCCTGGGCCCAGGTCCTGGGGTAGCGGCTGCACACCCAGGACGGGGCCAGGCAGGCAGCTCAGGAAGTCACCGAAGAGCCCGCGTCAGGGACCTCATCCCTGCCGCCTTTTTGAAAAACGTTTTATTAAAAAGTCCTTCACATGTCACTGAAGGTATACAGCCCTCACAGAGTCCGGCAGCTCTCCACAATTTAGGACCACCTGAGTCAACTGGAGACATTGTCATCTTTCTGGAAGGAAACCAGGCACCTCGGATCTGCTCTCCGTCCGCACAGATCTGCCCGTCCCGGACACGCGGTGTAGATGGGTCCGAGGGACAGGCCGTGGGGCTGGGCTGCTGACTGGGCCTGAGGACCGGCCTAGGTTCTTGCCCCACACCTACCAGCACACAATCCCTGCTGCTCTGAGCCTCAGTTTCCCCTCTGCAGAGGGACAACTTTGGTTGTTTCATTTCTGTGCATGCACAGCCACAGCCCCAGCAGCCTGCAGGAACCAGGAGGGCAGCGGAGCCCAGGGGCCACGCTTGTGTATCAACCAGGGCAGGCAGAGTGGGGTGCACTGTCACTGCCCCTCCAGATGGAGGGCCATTCTGCGTGTCTCCATCAGTGCCCAGTGCCGGAAGCTGGCCAAGCAGTCCCCATGGCCCCTGCTCTCCCTGGATGCTTGTTCCCACGGGAAGCAAAGCTCTTGCCTCGGGTTCTGAGTCACCGTGGGTGCAATGTTCCAGAAGTCACCATGCCTAGGAATCCAGAGAGGCCACGTGCGGGCACTGGGGAGAGTTTCCACGTCTAGGGTCACAGCTGCCTAAGGAGGAAGCCGGGCAGGAGACAGGGCCGCCCATGGTGGAGAGGGGCTGCGGCTCCCGGGGATCTCCCTGCCAGGGCCCAGCAGCCGTCCCTCCTGAGGAACCTGCGGCTCCTGCCTGAGCTCGGATGGTCCCTCCCTGGATCTCCGTCCCAGCCACTTCATCTCCAAGGAAGCCCAGCTGCAGAGGACCGGCCCGGAGTACAGAGGGGCTGGGACTGAGCTCTCCTGGCCAGTCTGCTCAGGAGCCCCTGCCGACCGTGACTGTGACCTTGACCGTGGCTCCCCCACCCTTGAGCACCCCAAAGGCGCCACAAGCCCAAAGCCCCTCCCCGCCCTGGCCCTGCTCGGGTGACGCAGCGGCGCGGACCCACGGGCTCTGATGTTGCCAGTTCCCGGAAGCGTCCACCAGCCAGGAGCCTCTGCTCACAGCTGGCCAGGGCAGGGCCAGGCCCGCTCTGGACACTTTGGGGACTCGTGGGGTCGCTTATCACTGCAGTCTTCAAAGCACCATGTTTGGAGTCCGATGTTTTTCATAAATAAATGAGGTCGAAGGCTGATAAAAATCAATACGTCTGAAATAACGCCCGGGCCCGGCGCGGCCCCGCAGCGGATATCTTGCACCCGGCGGTGGCTTTGAAACTGCACAGCACATCGAGGTTTGTTTTTCCAGAGCAAATGGAAACACTCACAAAGGGGCAAAAACAAACATCCCCGGGCCAGAGCCTCCCAACTGCCCAGGGCCTGCGGGCATCGCGCGGCCGGACTGCCTGGCCATCACAGGGACGTGGGAGGGCTGGAGGTGGCCTTGGCGGGAGCCGTTTCTAGGAAAGTACTTGGTGGGAGTTCTGGGGCCAGCACTTGTCTGGACCTACCCCCGGGGTCCTCAGTTTACCCATCTGCCGCCTGGTCAGTAGGGGTCTCCTCATGGGGCTACCGAGTGCCCGAGGCAGGCCTGCAGCCCCCACTGACCTCCCTCCTCCCCCGGCACCGAGAGGCCACACCCCAGCCCCCTGGGCCCCTGCCGATCCCCTGCTGGTGGGGACTGGGTGACACCTGCGGTCCCCATGCCCGAGTGGCCTCTCACCAGTGTTGAGCCTGCCAGGCAACTGTGGGGCACAAGGGTGACCCCTGGTCACAGACCACAGCTGGGTTCAGCATGGCCCCCAGTCTTCATGGATGCCCCTTCACCCGTGTGCCTGCACCCAGGGCCACCTGTGTGTCCCCAGTGGTCCCTCTGTCACAGTGGACACAAAGAGGAGTCCCTGGGTCAGGGTCAGGGATCACAGGTCACGGGTCGTGTTTGGGCACATGGACCAGAGCACAGCTGATGGGGGGAGGTGGCTTGGCAGTTCCAAGACAGGGGACCCTAGCGCCAGGGCAGTGCCACTCATGGATATATGGCTGAGAATTTAAATCAGACTCCAACAAAGACATCTCCTCGACGGGTCCTGGGGGCCTTACTGACAATAGCCCCGAAGTGCAAACAATTCAAATGTCCTTCAGCAGATGAATGAGACACGGAATGTGGTCTACTCACACTGTGGAATATTACTCTCTTGTGAAAAAGAGGGAGTGCTGGCACTCAGCAGCATTGGTGAACCTTCAGCACCCTGCACTAAGTCAAAGGAGGGGGATCCCCTAAGAGTGCGTATTGTATGATCCCACTTACACAAGCAGTGCAGGCCAGCTCCGCCGACCAAGGCAGAAATCACCTTGGTGGCGAGAGAGGAATAAGACGAAGCTTCTTCCCCAGGAGAGAGCTCACTTTGGGGCGATGGAGCTCTCTGGAGCTGCAGGGTGTGGGGGGCGCACAGGACTGCAAACGCCCTCACTGCACAGACAGCTCCTTTCCAAACAGCTCTGCAAAGCCGGCCTGCGAAGACTGGGCGTCTCCACTTCTTCTAATGCAAGGCATCGTGCAAGACAACAGGCAGACTAGTCGGCCCCAGAGGTAGCGCGGCTCCCCAGGGGCACTGCGTCCCCAGAGACTGGGCGGGAGGGGCAGAGACTCCGCCCAGCCACAAACCAACGTCCTTCTACAGGAGCCTGGCGACTTCGGTGAGAGCAGAGAGAGCAGAGACCAGGCAGCGTGGCCGGCTTCACACCGCGTGCATTTCACGTGGAAAAACACGGAGAGGGCAGAGGTTGGGCTTGGGCATGTGTGTGTGCATCTGTGTTTCTGTCTGTGTCTGTCTGTGCCTCTGTGTGTGCCCGTGTCTGTGCTTCTGTGTGCACCTGTGTATGTATGCCTCTGTGTGTGCATGTGTCTCTGTGTGTGTCTGTGTATATTCCCGTGTGTGCATGTATATGCATGTCTCAGTGTGTGCATGCTTGTATATCGTGAACTTGCATGTCCGTGTGTGCACACACATGTATATCTATGCATGTACACATCTGTGTGCTCATGTGTATATATATTTATGCATACACATGAATCTCTGTGTGTGCACGTGTATGTATGTAAGTAAGCATGCCTACATGAGTGCACATGTGTGTGCATATATCTGTGTACATGCACGTCTGTGTGTGTATGTGCATGTATCTGTGTCTGTGAACACAGTAACCTAAGGAGAGAGGAGGGGGCCCCACGTGTGGGACTCCTGAGTCCCCTCCAGGCAGAGCCGGGTCCTGAGACCAGGCAGCTCTGGCGCAGAGCTGAGTTCAGGTGTCTCAGAGGAACAAGTAGGGCCCCAGCCTCGTTCTGGCAAGATGTGGGCAAGACCCTCAGTGTGGCTGTGCCCGTTCTCTGCCCTCTGCACCGTCCCCCGGCTCTGCAGACCAAAGCACCATCCTTGTGCGTGAATTTTCTGTGCCCATGAACTGTCGAGCTTGGCAGCTCGGAAGCCACCAGCACACACACACACGCACGCACGCACGCACGCACGCACTCCGTGGGGAGCGGGATCAGGTTAGCGGGTGCTCGGGGTCTTCTCCCGCAGGATGGCTGTCACTGCTCTGGTTACTGTGTGTCTTGGGAATGCGAATTCTACTTGTCTGGGCCATGTGTCTGCGTGGGCAGCGGGGCCACGCGGCTAGGGCCTGGAGGGCCATCGCATGTCTTCATCATTCCCTAAGGAGGATGTGTCCCAGGCTCTGTGCGGAGAAACCAGTTTTGTACTTCAGGGCCAAGAGCAGAGCGGCTCAGCAGGGTCAGAGCAGCGGGGCTCTCCTGGGTACACTGAGTCACGAGGCCTAGTGTCACCAGAGTGGACACCACCACCCAGGGAGAGGAGCGGGGATCACAGAGCTCCAGTCGCTCGAGCCCACCCTCCACCTCCGTGTGATTCTCGCATCCCAAGCCTTGTGTCCGGCCTTCCCCGGCTGGGGCTCAGTTCTGGCATCTTCTTGCGCAGGCGTATCTACAAGGTAGGACCCAGGGCCAGCACTTGAGCAGCATGCAGGTGCCTGTTGTGTTTCTTAAACAACCTGGAATCTAGGATGCAGGACAGGACGTGCGCTCCATCTCTGCCACTCAGGAGGGCGGCACTCAGGTGATCGCCACCAACCTCAGGAGTCACCAGGAAGCGGCTTCCTGAGGACTGAGGGTCAGTGGGTTCTTGGGCATCGTCTGGATGGACTGCTGAAGCGCTGATGAGAACTGGAAGCCATCCATCGACCCCAACACAAATGCCAACCAGAGGCCCAAGCCTAACCCTAGCCCTACCCCACACTAGCCCTAACCCTAACTCCAACCCTAACCCTAACCCTAACGCGGATTCTAACCCTGTCCCACGTGCAGCCGTGCCGGGAAGGTGGCCCCACCAGGGAGGCTGAGTCACCGCACCTGAAATCCTGCCGATCCATGGGCTCTGTCCCAACACTTTTAGGAAAACAACCCGCCCTCTTTCATCAAAGTCCAGGCCCGCGATGGGCTCCGGCTCAAAAACAACACATTCTCAAGTGCGGAGCCTGGGTTCTGGGAAAGCAGAGAGCGGATTTGCTCTTCCTGAGCCGGAGGATTCAAGGCCTCCTCCTGCCCGTGTGGCCCTGGTGTCCTCGAGGACACAGCAGGGAACCAAGGAAGGTGCTGCCCGGGCAGCACCCTGAGGAAGGCACAAACCCTGGAGTGAGCCTCAGTTTCCCCGTGTGTAGCTGCCGTAGTCATGCCCAGGCTGGGAGAGGGAGGCTGGGCGGGCCAGGCTGGACATGGGTGCTTGGGTGCCCCACCCAGCCTGCAGCACAGGCAGGGTTGACACAGACGAGGGGCCCCAGGTATAGACCGGGCAGCAGAATTCATGGAGGCTTCTGGGCGTGTGGGGAGAAGCGCCTTCCCGCGGGTCTTCCCGCCCCCTCAGTGCTGGCCACAGCCGCAGGGCCCAGCTACGAGAGCACCACTGCTCCGTGTCTGTGGCGACAGAGGAGCTCCCAGTGCCCCAGGTCCTCCAAGTGTCCTCCAACATGCTTTCGGGACCGCAGGCAGCGCAGAAGCTGGGTTTATCCGAGGGGATGGAACCGTCAGAAAGCTCTAACAGCCACTCTAAACACCTCCGGTTCTCAGGTGCACCCTGAAATGCCGCCTGGACTTTGTGTCACACACCATACAGCAGGAGCTGCGCGCCCACGTGGCCTCCAGCTCTGTAGCAGGGCTGGGATCAAATGTGGGCCCAGAGCTGCACACAGCGGCTGCCAGCAGCAACCCTGGTGTGTGAAAAAGTCACACTGGGGAGTGGCGGGAGGGCACAGGCGGGGCCATCGCCCTCCTGGTCCCCGCTGATCGTCTCTTGCCTCTGGGGATGCTGTGGTTCTCCACGGTTCGGTCAATGGCGCTGGACGAACCCCATTTCCTGCTGATTTCTTGGGGGGACCAGGGCCCACTGCCCTTGGACCAATCCATGTGTGCACCCACCACGGAGCCTGTCGGACGAGCCAGGCACCAAGCTGACATCCACAGTCTCTCCCTCATCTCCGCGGGGCTTCTCAAAGCAACTGAATAGCTAACTAGACTTGGGGAAACTGAGGCATGGGTTGGGGAGGAATAATTGGCACGCAGATCCAGCTCTCCAGTGGTGCGTTTGCTGCCAGATGCCTGCCAGGCTCAGTCACCTCTGCTCATGGCTCATTCCCCAAGCTGAATTCTGGACCAGCGCTGAAGCGCAGTGATGGTGTCCAGGGGACAGCTGGGGTGGACAGGCGGCCCCCGCCCCTGGCCCTTTCCCTGGAGCCCACAGGGTCTGCTGGAGAGGGACGCAGGGTGGCGGCAGAGTCCTCAGAGCCTGGGGCGTTGGTGGCCCCTCCGGGTGCCCAGCAGGCTGCAGACTGCCCGCTCCTCCTCCAGAGGCCAGAGCCCCGCGCCTCTGCCCGCTCCTCTCACCTCCCTTACAGACGGGGAAGCCGAGGCCCAGCGCGGGCAGCCACTTTCTGAGGTCTCACGTCTAGGGGGGCTGAGGCCCCACCACTGGCCGGGAGCTCTGCTTTTAACCAAGAGCCCAAACTGCCTCTGGATTTTCTTTGTCAAAAGAAAGAATCTTAGGACTCTAAAATGTCCTCCAAGCTATGCCCTCCTGCCTCAGGCCATCCTGAAATGGGGAAACTGAGGCACAGGGTGCTCAGATGGTATCCCTGCACCTACACGGTCGTCAGGGCCTCCTTGGCCGGGCGTCCATCCTTCAAGGCCGACAGCCTCAATGATCCTCCTAAGAATGTGTCGGGGGACGCAGACACAGGAGAAGGGAACCCTATTTCCTGTCTGGCGGGGAGAGCTGGGCTGGGACGCAGGGGCCAGGGCAATAGCCCCGCAGGTGAGGCGAACACCACGCACCCCTCTCCCTCCGGCCAGCGAGAGGGGAAGGCTGAGCCAATGATAATACATTTCCTGAGAACTTTCCACTTGCCCCTAAAGGCTTCTAATTGTGTCTGGAGTTTTTCCTTCCTACCACAGGAGGAGCGGATGCGTGGCTCGGGCGTCTGGTCCAGGGCTGCAGAATGCAGCTCCAGGGGGATGCAGTCCTGGTCTCTCTGGGGCCCGAAGGGAGCGGCAGCCCCCAGGTTCCCAGCACCCAGGCCAGGTGAAGGCTGGGATCCTCGGTGGGTGTCCAGGCTCTGCTGTCCTCAGTGCAATGCTGGAAGTGGCTGAGGCAGCTTGTCCTGCACCTTCCTGGCCATGGCGCTGTGATGACCTTGTCAGGGGCTCCCAGGGTCACAGCAGCCTTCGCCTTCCTGAAGCCCAGTGCTTCTTCCTGAGTACCTGGGCGTGGGCGGGTGTGACCCCATCTGGCCTCACTACTGCCTGGGGAGTCCTCAAACCCCTCAGGACCTGCTGTGAGCTTAATTCACTGTCATCTGCACGCATTACGTTGTTAGCTTTGCCACACAATATAGCGCACTGTGTAACATATCCACATCGTGAGACATTTATCCAGCTTATCAGCTGACACTCCACACCATGAGATCTATCCTGTGAGCTGACACAGGGCCGAGGATGCCTCAGGAACAGCGTGTGGACACGCAGGAGACGCTTGAGGGGAGGTGACCCCTGCAGCCCGTGTCCGGCTTTGTGCAGCCCCCAAGTCCCAAGCTCCTGGCCTGCCACGGGGACCTCGCCTCTCAGGCCTCCAGGGCTGACCTGTCACTGCAAACCCGGGTGTATCGGGGGTCCCCGCACAGAAGGGAGCTCAGCGTGCCACTCTTTTACACTTCCACAACACCCAGGAGCAGGTGCCCGCCAGTCCAGGGGCAGCTCCGAGGAGCCCGAGCCTGGAAGAGGCACCATAGCCTGTTCACAGTTAGCAGACTAAGCACAGAATGTTCTGGAATCCTGGCACCCGCATTGTGCACACCCAGGGGCTCTCATTGGCCACGCTGGTCCAGGGAGAGCTGACTCCCAATGCGCGTGCCCACTGGTGCATCGCCTCTGCCCCGCCAGTCCCTGTCCTGAACTGATTTCCTATCACACTTGGGGTTAAGGGGACGGAGCCTCCCTGTCTGCAGAGCCCCGAGACAGAGTCTGTGCCCCCTGCTCTCCGTCCAGCTGGGCCCCGGCCCTGGCAGCCCCGTGACTCTGAAAGACAGTCAGGACCCACACTCTCCAGGTCTTAGTGTGCTGAAGACAGCCCGAGGCCAGGACACAGCCCCACAGACTGGGGGTCATGGCCTGTGGCACTCCCTGGCACGGGGCATATGGGCTTGCCATGCAGTTGGGTTCTGGCAGCCTGCAGACCTGCCACCTACCAGCAGCATGACCTGGCCACTGCACTCCATCAGCCTTGGCTTCTTCTTCTGTCAAATGTGGACCGTGTCACAGAGCAGCTAGGAGGACAAAATGGCATATATAGGGCTTTCAGCAGGATGCCTGACAAATGACAAATATGCAAGGGATGGTAGCTATTGTCACCTTGGTGGTCACCATCACCACCACCGTCACCATCACTACCTGTCAGTCACCCCCACCACCCTCGCCACCCTCCTTCCCACGGTGTCTCTCCATGTAGACACTTTGCTGAGCTAAAGACCATGTCAGTAACCCTGTTCTCTTCCAACTGGTTGGAAGGAATTGGAAGTCCATTTGGAAGCAGGCCCCGCCCAGGTCCCTGCACACTGGATTTAACAGATTGGCTTTGACAACGGTGAGGCCGAGCCAAGGAGGCCCAGAACGGCCTGCTTAGTGTGCTCTGAGGCCTGAGCTGCTGCCGTGCCGTCCAGAGCAGTTGGGGAGTTTTCGGCAGCAGCTGCACCGCCAGGTCTGTGGAGGGGTCACTGTGCTTGCTGGACTGTAGGGTTCAGGAACAAGGTCCTGAGTGAGCCACCAGGGCCAGCACATGTCCCCGAGTTGCTGTGTCTCTGCCTGTCACAGGACTGAGGCCCTGCGCCACAGGGAGTGACACCTCCCAGCCCCCGTCTCATGACTTCCGGGGCGAGTGAGGCACAGCTCGTGTCCTCCTGGCTCAGGCTCTGGTGGAGACGCCTTGCCTCCCTAGTTCCCGTGCCTGCCGCGCAGGCCACCAACATTCCCACTCTCCTGAGCCCAGGCCCTATTTTCTCCTTTGTCCCTGAAGCCCAGGAGGCGGCTGTGTGCCAGCGTCACTGCTCCCCACGGCTGCCCTCCCTGCCTGGAGCCTCACTGGCTGGTCACCTGTGGAAACCCCAGCTGTGCCAGCCACACCCGGGGAGGCTCAGGCCAGTGGGTGCTCAGCGAGTGCCAGCTGCAGCGCTGTGACAGGGTGACAGGGAGGGGAGATGCGCACCCTGTGTGCCTGGCACCACACTGCACGTGCATGGTCACTGCTTCACGTGCCTCACAAGCCCTGCACCCGGCGACCTGGCTCCCCACTTCCCTGAGGGAGCCTGCAGCCTCGTAAGGTCATGTGCTTGCTCTTCTGAGAGGGGACAGAGACAAGGGGCTGCCCTCCCATCCAATAGCCCGCAGCTCCCACCGATGCCCATCAGCTATGATACGCGTGTGCACGGAGGGCACATTCTGTGCGTGCTGGGCACGAGCCTGCTGGATGCAAACGTGTCTGGCAGGCCCAGCCTGCCACAGGCCGTAGAAAGCGTGGTCTTGGTTGTGTCCTCTCCATTAGGATCCCAGCCCCAGAGCCCGAGCCCCTGGTGGCCCCCCACAGGGTCTGAGCCGAGTCTCAGCGAGCGAGCCGCTGTCGGGCCCAGATTTATGGCTTTGTTATTACCGTGTTGTGGAGATTTTTACAGCCCCGGGCTCCCTGGAGAATCCCGGCGCTCGCTCTAGGACACATCAGTCAGACAGGGAGGAAATATCCAAAATGCTGGGAACATCCTGTGTCACCGCGTCCCCCGGCCCAGGTACGCGGCCCTTTGTGTGCAGCCAGAGGGCGGAGGAAGCTGATAAGGGGCAGGGGCTGGGGGAGGGCCACGCGGCACCTCTGTGCCCCGGTTTGTTCTCCACCGTGACACATGTCCCCAGCTTCCTGAGCAAAACAGCCCTCACCGCGGGCCTCTGATGTGCGGCCAGCGCCCGCTCGGCAGCCCCGCCCGCCGGCAGACTGCTGACTCTGCAAGGAGCAGGCGTCCACGGCCAGCAGTGCCCACCGCAGACAAGGCCCCATTGTCCGCCGCCCGCTCCCAGAGTCCTCCGGGCCGGCTCTGCTGGCAGGAGAGGGCCTGAATTCGGAGGGGCCGGCGGGAGGGGAGAAGGGGCCCGAGCCCCAGAGCAAGGGAAGGAGGGCCACATCCCCGAAGTTGGCGCCTGCTTAAAATCACAAGGAGAGCTCCGGTGCCCCCCTCACTGGCCCACGTGCCCCCCCATGCCCCAACCCTCTTCAGGGACAAGGGCGCCCATCAGGGAGGCGTTGGAGCCCCACATCTGAGGGGCACAGAAGAGACCAGGGGGTCAGCCAGTGCTCACCCATGGGCAGAGGCAGGAGTGTCCTGGGATGCTGGGACGCTGGGCCTGGGCAAGGACCACTGACCCCATCCTTACTCACACCGTGGGCTCTGCAGCGTGGGGGCTGGACACAGGTACAGCCTCCAGGGTCCCCACTCAGCCCAAAAGAGAGGCCACCAGCAGCTATGTCTGAACTTCTGCCCCAGTGCCCCCCACCAAACAGATGGGACCTGACCTCCGGCCAGTCCCGCCCCCTCCAGCCCCCTGACCTGTCCAGGCTGGGCCTGGGCTTGCAAGTGCAGCTTCCCGTGTCCAGTGCAGCTGCTGCTCAAAACACACAGTTCTGAGTGGGTGGCAGGTGGATGGTCTCGATGGAACCGGTCAAGTCCACTAGACGCCATCGCCCAGGTGCTCAGGGGCAGAAGAGATGCTGCTGGTGGCAGCATCCTGGGCCTGACAGCCCCAGTTGGCCTGGCACCTGTGCAGTGAGCGAGTGCAGATCGGGCTTCCACATGGCTGCAATGGCACGTGGGTCCTGTCCCCGAGCAGGGCTGTGGCCACACTGCATCCGCTTCACCTGCTAGGAACCCCTGCCCCCCCATCCCATCCTCCCGAGGGGGACCAGGGCAGAGCTCACTCACAGCACAGAGGCTTTGGGACTGCCGTGCCCCGCTGGGACACTCTTCCCGCCTCTGACCATGACCCTCAGCCATCCCTGGTGGCTGTGGTCACCACCAGAACCCGCACCTCAAGGCCACCTCCCAGGTCACACAGCATGGTATCCTCCAGTGCCAGATGCTCCCGGACCAGAGGCTTCAACATGGGGTCCAGCAGCTGGCGCGACGCCCCTTCCTCACAGCAGGCCCTGAGCTCGCTCCCAGCCTCGGCCTCCGGTGCTGCCGTCCAAGGACACCTGCAGGCCCTTCCTTCACTGGCACAGTCCAGCACCTCATAGACACTGAGCCCGCAGTTCCACAGACACATACTGTCTCCTCGGACAACTGGTGGGCTCTTTGGTGCCAGCTGTTGGGACAAAAGTGGCTGGGCCAAGCCTGGGGCAAGGCAGCCAGACGGTGTGAACCGGCCACCTCACTTCACCCGCAATGCAGGCGCACAGCAGGACCCATGCCCGTGACACCTGCCCCCTTATGCCCGCCTGGGCTGGAGCAGGTCCCTTCTCTCGGGCTCCCTGCCCATCCAAGCCTGTACCCTGGGCCATGCTCTGTCCTCTGACACCCACCTCCCCAGCCGCAGAAAGCACCCCTGCCTCTCCTTCAGGCTGTTGTGAGGAGTTGGGTGGACCCTGCTCCCTGTGCCCTGGTCTACCCTGCCCGCTACCCCTCAAGGCCCTGTCATGGTCTGCAGCCCGGGCTCATGAGGGTGCCTTGCAGCTCAGCCCAGATCAGTGTGGGAAACAGATTTGCCATCCCCTGAGTCCAGGGAGCTGCCAGTGGAGCCCAGTCGAGCCCCTGGAACCAGTGTGTGAGGGGTGTCCTGCTGTAAGGCACAGAGGTACCCCGGGCCTCTGCCACTGTCTACAGCCGCTGTGCTCCCTGGAGGTAGGACCCAGTTCCATGGTGACATTGATGGATGGAGGGCGGAATCCAGATTCTGCTACCCTGCTGGGATCTCATCCCCTGCACACACGGGTGAGTCACTGTCACAGGGCTCCCACAAGATGGAGAAACCGAAGTTCCAAGGGACAAGGACACACCTGACCCCCCAGACCATCCATCCTGGGCAGCATGGGCCCAGCCAACACTGGCCACAGTGTCCACCGCCAGTCGCTGAGGGAGCTGGACACAGTAAAGCCGGCTTTGTCCCACGGGACAGCAATCCTGGCCACCTCCGGCTCACGGCGACCCCACCAGGTCGGGAGGAGGATTTGGAGGAGGACGCAGCCTCCAGCAGTGACCAGAAGGCTCCTGCAGCCCCCACGGGCCGGCCACCCTGGTAATTAGTGGGGATGACGGCAGCCAGCTGTTCCTCTGTCCCGGTGACAGAACGGGGCTGCCCGAGTGACAGGCTTGGACGTTTCCCCCGCAATCCTCTCGCAGACACCGGGGCGGCCAAACCCCAGGAATCTGCCTGCTCGATGGATCAAATCCACCATGCCGCTGCCCACGCCCGGACCTGGAGGGTCTCTTGGACGGGAGTCGAGGCAGCGGCGGCGGCTTCTGGATTTGATTACAAGGAAATCTGTTCTGCATCTCCACCTCTCCCTTGTGCCCTCGCCTGCAGGAATGCGGAGCTGGCCGCTGTCTCAGCCCCCGCTGCTCACAGACACTGGACCGAGAGCCAGCGTCCTACCTCGCTTGTGCCCGTGAGTTGCAACACAAGGGAAGAGTGTGGACATGTGCGCGCTTCCCGGGGAACAAATCACACGGGCTGGTGACTGAAAGCAGCAGCCACTGGTGTCGCAGAGGCTGGCGGCCGGAGCCCAGTGTGCAGGTGTGGGCAGGCTCGGGGACAGCTTCCCTCGGCCTCCCCCAGGTGCCAGGCGGTGACAGCAGAGACCTCACCCCACCACTCTGGACTCAGGTCCACATCCTCGGTCCTCCCGGGAGGGGACAGCACCAGTCACCACCCAGCTTCTCTAAGCACCTGCTGACCAGTGCTGCCCAATCCAGGAAGAGCCCTGCACGTGGAGGCCAGACTGTGCCGGGGGCTCGGCCCGTGTCATCCCCAGGCACTGAGCCATGACAACTCAGGGTCACCAGCAGCAAGTGGCCTTGGGGTCATGCCTGATTCTGAAGCTCACGGCCGTAAGTGCCAGGCATGTCACCCCCAGAGCTGGGGTGAAGACCCTGGGCCAGCAGGGCGCAGTGGTGTGCAGGAGGGGTGAACTAACAAGCCCAGGGACAGGACACCATGACCGGGCCTTGGGACCCCAAGGGTCCCCATGGGCCTCTCACAAAAGCTACCAGGGTGCTGTGCAAACAGCTCCCACTGGTGTGGGCTCCGGGAGGAGCGGGGCTCAGCACAGGGCCCCGGGCTTGACAGCCGCAGCGCCCTGCACTGCCGAGGCTCTGTGAAGCTGCCCAGCACCTTCAGGTGGGTGCCCCCCTGGGCACGTAGAGCAGAGGACAGCGGGCAGCTGGTGGCTTCTTGGGGCAGCCAAGCCCCTTTGCTCTCTGCCTTCCTTGGGGACGGCTACCCAGGACGACTTCCCTGAGGGGGCCGCTGGTGATGGGGAACAGGGGTCAAAGAATTATGGGAGGAGGGAGCCCAGCCGCATCTGTACCCCAACATCTAAACCAACATGCCTGAGACGGGGTGGCCGCAGGGCACTTGTGCTCACTTCCAGAACTGCAGCCCAGGCCTTGGTGTCCTGCATAGGGCTCAGCCTCGGTGGCCCCAGGCCAGCCACTGGTGGTGGTGGGGATGAGGGAGGGCTTCCCTGGGGGACCCAGGGCCAGCTTCACCATGGGGTGCAGGTGGAGGTTTGCTTCCATCTTTGCTGTGTGCTGGGCAAGCTCTGACGGAGGCTGGCCAGGGGTCCCCGACTAACGCGCCTGGCTCTGGTTCCCTGGGGATGTACAATGCTCCCTAGAGGTGCTGTGGTCCTGGTAGAGGACGGACCTGCATCTCCACTACCCGCCCCTCAGTGACGGCCAAGGCGACTCCCTGTACCCACCCCAGGTCCCCTGGGGCCAGCGACAAAGTACTCACAAAGCCTGTCAGCTCCCTGGGAAGGCAATAAATCTCCCTGCCCTCTGTCTGCCCTCCCTGCACCCTCTCCAGAGACTTCCAGGTTGTAAATGTGTCCGGAGTGAAACGGGACCCGTGTGCCCCCAGAAAGTGGCGGCATCCGCGACCCCGGCACCTTATCTGATGGAAACCCTAACCTGTTTCCCGCCCAGGGCTCCTGCGGCAGCAGCGGTGGCAGGAGCAGCCAGCTGATCCTAATCTGGGACCGAGCGCTCCAGGGTCGCGCGAGGCCCCGGGGGACCAGGTGCAGCCACAGCCTCCACTGCAGCGGGCCATGCGGGGTGGGGGAGAAGGGCGAGCACACAGGACCCCGTGTGGACTGCGGCCCCCCTGAGGGCGGCGAGCCCTGCCTCGCTGTGCGCCCCTGTGAGAGGGAGTCAGAGGTTTGTAGACCACCACAGCCCAGGGCTTCTGAAGCTTGGGGGCTTCGGGCATGGCTTGCCCCGAAGTTGGACAAGGCCTCCAGAGCTGGCTTCCCTCTGTGCTCTGGGCCCTGCTGAGCCCTGCCTCAGCTCCCTGAGCATGTGCTGCTCCCTGTGGCTCCAGCCCTCCATGCAGCAGGAGAAACGGTGTCTGCTGCCCAAGCCCAAGACACCCTCCCTCTGGTCCAGTTCCTCCTCCGCCAGCCGGCTGTGGCGCTTCTCAAATCCTCCCAGCCAGCATTCTCGGGTTCAACGTGCCCAAACCGAAAGTGAGTGTGAGCTCAGGGAGAGTGCAGAGGAAGAGAGGGAGACTTTGGGGCACTCTGGCCACGTGGATCCTGCTCCCCGCTCGCTCTGCACACACTGTGTAGAGCAGCACCATAACCAAGCATGTCTCTGTCAGCTGCGCCTGGTAACAAATACTGCAGATGCAGGGGGCTTAAAGCACAGATGTCAGCTTTCTCCTAGCTCTGGGCGTGGACATCCTCAGTCAAGTGAAA